AGGCACACGACCAAACGCTTATTTCCCAGCTGATATGCGCAAAAAAATTAAAGTACTATAGCTTTTTTATAGGTAACTTAGTTATTTTCAAATATTTTCTTGAAAAAAAGGGGCTTTAGCATATTCCAAAAAATTGCATACATATATTTTTAAGCACAGTGATCGCTTTGGTATGCTTTTATTCTTTCTGCACTGCGCTGCAGAGTTTTGTAAAGTCTGGGAAGAGTACATTTGGCCCTGAGAAAACAGCATAGCTGACACGGATTGCGTTGTATGTATTAGTAAGAAAATAGCAGATATTGATAAATAAAGATTACTTTGAAAACGTCCAAAAATTGTCAAGGCAGTGGCTTTAAAACATTAATATACTTTTCTTTCTAGCATGAAATTTATTAACCGTAAAATAAGTATAAAATGAAATTAATGGATGTACTTACTGTGAAATCGGTATAAGCAACAAAAATGGACTAAGTACACACTGTATGACGAATGCTAATTAAATTATGCCTATACACGTGTTAAATTTTATGTTTGGGACCATACTTAGAGATTACGGCCAGTGTTCTGCAAATTTCGCATAATACAATAAGAGGGTTTCAAAAAGGTTGCTTACGGAAAGTCGGCGAAGCCTCGGAGGGCGGCCACAACCCTCAAAAACTCTAACGCCAGTATGAGTTTTTCTTTGGGAATGGCCGTCTTCGAATCGCCCAAGAGGGAAAGGCCAATTGAGAGGAGGCGACTGTTCACTTCACTTAGAAGGTTCGGATCGGTATCCTAAGCAATGGAAAAAACAGGACAGTTCAATAAATGCGAGTGGGTGTTATCTTGCAAAGTATTTTGATCAGGCAGTAACACGGAGAAGAGGGTCATTAAGTCCTACATTACCAATATATCCGTCTAGATGGCATCGACTTCAGGATATAAGGAGCATGATCGCCTGCTCTCACTCAGCATGGGACGGCAAAACATACATTATACTACTCGTGATGAGTGAGTAGACAAGTTTTATTACTATTAGGCTGTCCAACAAATGCTGTGTTTGCACTCGCAACGTGTAAGTGACGTACTTTTAAAATTTTCCTTTAAATCCGCATATTTCCTACCATCTTGTTACGAATAGGTAGTTCAAAGGCGTTGGCCTACCTTCCCCTCAATAAACTGATACCAATAATGACACACACTCAAGGAGAACACCGATACGCCTTTGTATACCCAAAACGGCGCACATACGTTTAATGTTGTTTTAAGCGGAAAATCATAATAGAGGACATTGCCAACGACAAAAAGGATACAAAATTATTCATTGCTGGCCTAGTAACCAAATTTAGTCGGCCATACCTCCAAAGTGACACTGAAATCCTAAAACGTTGGCTTACTGAGACTGTCTCTCCAGCATTCGAGAAAACACCTCGGCTTTTACCGACTACGATCGCAAATATGCAAAGGAACAAGGATATATGTTTAGCGACCTGGCCAGATGGAAGTAAGGAGCAAAGAATGGTCCTGCTTCAACTTACAATCAGGTCAGATAGACAAGCGCAATTCCAAACCGGGAATATCATTTGATTGTCACATTTAAAAATGCATACCGGCAGCGTCTTGACGTAGTTTCCGAACCACTCACAGGTGTCACGGCCCTCGTCAAAAAGGATGCGCCTAAAAAATCCGAGCAAATCATATCCTTCGGATCGATGCAAACTGAGGGCAAGATGGAGAACGAATTCCGGCAGGCAACGAAGTGAAATCTAGGGGTAATTTAAATAGGAAATAAGAGTCGTAGGAAAATTAACACGAAATTCTACAAGGCCGAAAATTAAAAAAAACTCTTTTGGCAGTGTATGAGACGCTCTTTTTAATTTTACTTTTTCTTGATCTCCTAGTCAGTTGTCTAGGAGCAAAATAGCAAATTTTAGAAGAGAGGAGAAAATATGTAAAATTAACCTGTGAAAACACAAGACAAACTGGTCCGCCGCTCGATTTCTCCATTGTAGCAAAGGAAACGGAGAAATACACAATAACAAAGCTACCCTAAATAGTCCTGTAGATCGGTATTGACAAGGTTGCATTCCCATTACTATGGGTGGGTGGTGGTGGTGGTGGTGACACTTGAAACGGCGGAAGCCACTGTATGAATGCTCTGATAACGCACGAGGCAAACTTACGCAACGGTCTAAAATATGCTCAGC